ACCAACACATTACAGGGCAAGGCACTTAAGGCTTTAGTGATATTTAAATAAGGATTTAATTTCTAGAAGATATAAAATCCTTCATAAAATTTCATTAAGTACATTAAAAAACTCAAAAGTACATTGAAAATTCAGATCTGATGGCTTTGGCATCCTTTTTGAAACTGATTTTAATTCTGCAGCTGCTAAGATTTTGAATGCAGCATCACACAGTGTTACAGCTCAGCCTGACCTGGGATTGGATCCTGTATATACATTTTTATAATGTATAAACAAGGGACAGAATTTATCCCAGATTTATATGTTATATCCATGCCACTGGGGAGGGGAGTGGCAGCAAAATGAGTAATCACACCTATTGCCTTGAGCATCTGTGTAACAAGACGAACATGTTTGTGTTCTTCCAGGATAGCATTACATGTGAAGACTGTATCCTCACACCTCTGTAGATGTAGTGGGTGCTAATTACAAAGAAGGAACTTCCTCTTATAATCTGTTTCTAAAGTAAAAGCTCAAACCAATCTTTTCTCTGACCTAATTCCATTTCCCAAAGAAAATGAAAGGACACAGTTTTGTTGCAGATAGGAGAATTCTAGTTTATGCTCTGCGAGTCACAGCAACGTTAACTTTCACTTACCATCAGTTCACGGGCATGCCAGTCCTGGCCTGCCTTTGTTCTGCTGGGTATCCCTGTCCTTCCCTCATAACTCAGATTTAAAATCTGCACCTTCTTCCCCCGTCCCCCACTGATTCACACCACTTGGCCATGAATGTCTGTCCATTCCTTTACCACCTCAGCTCCTTTGTGCCAGTTATCTTGGGGCAGGATCTTTGTTTGATTCCACTTTGAAACTTCAAATACCTAACATTATCTCTTTCCCACATTAGTTAATAAATGCTAGCTTAATTAGTAAACATATCTTAACATTTGGCAAAACATATACAAATATTACAAAACAACTGTTGATAATATGACTCTAGATGGAAAGGTTATAATTCTATAGTAAAAGTGTTATGAATTATGGAAAAATACTCCATAAACCTTGAGTCACCTACAGTTTTGGAGAACTCTGAGGAGTCAGTTCTAATAGGGAATATCAGGACTTGGAAGACAGGCAGAAAGAACTATTCTGTGACATGTGCTCAGCACTAGGCCCCAGTTGACTACCCCTCCCAAGTGTGTCCCCATAATCTCACAAAAATGAGAAGAAAGAATGAAACATTTGCTATGGTTGCTTTTCCCTGAAATGTGAACTGAAATCTTAGAAGCACTAGTCTAACATAAAAGCATTTTCATAAGACAAGCTTAACATCACAGACAGAAGCAAGGCAGCTGAGCACCGTTACTGTGTACACAGTAAATCAGCCACAGAAAGGGACAGCATAGCAGGGCACCGGGAGGGTAAGAGGTGCACTTAACCTCCTGTACACATCGCTGCTCCACTTCTCACCATCTCGGTCCTATGTAGTCTATACCATGTATGCCAGGGATGTAACAGACCATTTTCAATCTAAATCTTGTTAGAGATTAATAAGCGAACATTTTCTTGCTTATTATGCAATTTATCATGATGAAAATTACATTGTACTCCTCAAGGCTACATGCTGATACATTCATTTATTTAGAGCTGTGTGGAGAGAGTCATACTAATCTTTGTGACACGAAGGATGTAATAGCAAGATTTAAATTACCTCCTGAAAACTATAGGATTTGTGTCTCCCAACATGCTGCCTGTAGATAAGGCACTGGTGCATACTTATTTTGCCAATATAAACTTAATATGAAGTTACTTAAAAACAAAACTGTAAACACTAAAACTAAAATAAAACTTTTAGAGACTAAAACATTACAGGCTTCTCAAGGGAGCTCCGGCAACTGCAGCCTGCGATACGCTCTTCTGTGGGCACACCGCAGCTACAGCCAGGGAGCCAAAGGAGGAAATGTGTTCCAGAGAGCTGCACAAAGGCCAGCTGCCCTGTACTATGGGCCCACCTTTATGGACTAAAATTTCCTCCTAATTCTTAAAGTGAACAGAACTATCCGTCTTCCTCTATCCAGAAACTATCCTGGCCATTTTTTTGCCAAACTGTTCATTTTAGAAATGGGTTCACCAGCTTCTAACCTGTTGAATCCTGGGACATCACAATGGCAGCTCCACTTACACTACCACCACCACAGTAATATTGTTTAGTTTCTTAGTGTCTTGGTTAGTTTTAACTTTTAACTTCATATAATCTAGAGTCACCCTGGGAAGCATAATCTCAGTTGAAGAATTGCCTCCATCCCATTGGCCTGTGGTTACCTCTGGGGATATTGTCTTGACAGTGCTGTGTAAGAAAGCTAGCTGAGCACCAGTTATCAGAAGGCGAGAAAGCAGCATCCATCCTTGGTTTTGGTTTCAAGTTCCTGCCCTGACTTCCCTCAATGATGGATTGTGACATGGAAGTATAAACCAAAAAACCCTTTCCTCCCCAGGCTGCTTTTGGTTATTGTGTTTTATCACAGCAAAAAAGAAGCAAACTAGAAGACCTGAGATGTGCTAATTACTCTTGGCAAATACAAGTTCATTTAGCATCAGCCTTAGAAAACACATACTTTAACTTCCATCACATAGCCAATGAGATGCAGAGGTGAGATCTAGAAGCATAGAGATATGACAGAAGGTATGAGGGAAGGCAGCTGTCTAGGTTTGAAATGAATACCCTCCTCTTAGCCATTAACCTGGGAACACAGTTATAGCTAATCTGTAGACAAAGCCGCAGCATTCCATCCCAGCCTTCAGTTACTTCTCTGGTTTTCACTTCTTGGAGCAGTCATAGTGAGACAAGGCCCAAACATGCCTGAACCCAAGGGAACTGTGGCATGGGGAAGGCAACGATGAAGAGCAGGTAGTTTTTGAAAAGGTTAACAATGACAACACTGGAGTATCACTCATTGAGAAAATCAAAGAGTTGATGACATTTTCACAAAGACAGGCATCACAGAACAGGTCAATTTTCTCTACTACTTCCTACTCACTAGGATGACTATACTATAAAAAAATAACAAAGAGAAAATGAAATTCTTGTACATTGATGGTAGGAATGTAAATATAGACAATGAAAAACAGATTCATGGCTCTTGGAAAATTTAAACATGTAATAAATCCCAGTAATATTACTTTGGAAATGAAAACAAGTCCTCAAATACTTATCAGTAACTGCTTGTAGCAGCTCTATACACAATAGCAAAAGGTGAGAACAAGCTACGTGTCGATCAACAGAGAAACAATACACTGTGTAAACACAGTTGAATGGTATCCAGCTATAAGGGGAAATAAAGCAAGGATACACACTACAATATGGATGAATGCTGCAAGCAGGCTCATGAAAGAAGTTAGTCACAAAAGATCACAGATGTAGAGTTCCATTTCTGTGAAATATCTAAAATAGGCAAATCTGAAGAAAGGATTCAGATTAGGGGTTCCTGAGACTGGTAGTAGAAGCCTAGGGAACGAATGCTTCATGAGCATGGGGGTCTACTTGGGATGACCACTAGTAGGGACAAGGTAGTGGCTGGATAACAACTGTCAGTATACTTGTGGTGATAAAGACCAATTTTATGTCACTTATAAAATACACCAAAAAGAAGGAATTCTTTTGGTAATCAGGAGGCTGTGATCTGAGACAACACTAATCCCCATCTTTACCATCACTCCCAGCCAATGTTCCCACTTATTTCATTTCAGCAACTCCCTTCACATAGTTTCCTTTTCCATTATTTTTTTTTATAATGAATGACTACCATTTTCTTTTTAAAATTTATTATATTTTATGTATTTATTCTTGTGTAGAAGCCCGCATGCCACACCACATGTGTAGAGGTCATTGGAAAACTTCCAGGAGTTGGTTCTATTTTTCCATTTTTTGGACCCAGGGATTGAACTTAGGTTGTCAGGTTTAGTGACAAGTACTTTTACCTACTAAGCCATCTTAACATCCTGACTAAAATATTCTTTCTAAAAAAAAAACAACAAACTTTATCTTTGTTTTACATATATATGTGTGTGTTGTATAAGTGCACCCATGTCATGCAGTGCCTATGGAGGACAGAAGAGGGTACTGAATTCACTAGAAGTAAAGTTACAGATGGTTGTTAGTTTCCATGTGGGTGCTGGGATTCGAACCCAGGTCTTTTGCAAGAACAGCAGTGCTCTTAACCGCTGAACCATCTCTCCAGCCCCTGACTAAAATATTATTATAGTTTGTCTTTCATTACAAAAAACTCCAATAAAGTTAATTTAAAAATTACCAGGAATGTGGAGGAGCAAGTCTTCAAATTGTCTAGCCCTGTTTTCTATTAGTAGACCATTTTTTATCAAGTATAAGTATGCATATCATTTTTCTTATAAATGGTATTTTATAGTGTTATTAGCCAGTAATGTCTCAAGGAACAATCAATGCAGTTTATAAACTATGTCACAGACCCATTGCCTCAGGGTTTTATATACCATTTATTTATCACTGTTTGTTTTGTCTTAAGACAAGGTCTTGCTATGCAGCCCTGGTTGACCTGGCTGGCCTATGAACACTAACAGGTCGGCCTCGAACTCATAGAGATCCACCTGTCTCTCCTTCCTGAGAGCTGGGACAAGAGGTGTGCACTACTACTATGACCAACTTACCGCAATTGCATGAAAATTATAGAAACTTATTTCTTTTTTGTTGTCTATATCCAAGATTTCATATAATGAAATGATGTCTATTTTCTGTTTTTTGTTTTGTTTCATTCTGTTCTGTTTTGTTTTGTTTTGTTTTGAGACAAGATCTCACTATACAACCCTGACAGGCCTTGAACTTGCAGCAATCCTCTTGCCTTAGCATCCTGAGTGTTGGAACTAGAGGTGTGGGCCACCATACCCAACTGATTTACTGTAGATGAAACATTCTTGTTCTAAAGGATAACCGTCACCTCCAGCAACTCCCTCAAACAAGTCAAGCCCACTGGAATTCATACATACTTGGCAAGCTGCTTCTCAGCATCTGCACACAGTTCCAGAAGCCCCATCAGAACAGCGGACACGTCCATGTACGGCTCCCATACAGTGAACCCACGCCCAATCAGATCAATGGCTGTCCTCCGGATGGTGCTATGAGGAGGAAGTTTGGGACTGGGAGGCTGTAGCAGCAGAAATGTCAGTGCCTTGCCTAAATGACAAAATAAGATTCAGAATGGTAAGTATACTTTCAAACTAAAAACACATTTCAATGTTATTTCCACAAAGGGTATGAACAATCAACTATAAAAGACTTTGAGGTAATGGTTTATTTAGCCTTATATTTTCAAGAGAAAAGTTAAAGCTACAATATTTTATAGCATATTCTTAAGTGTTTACTTACATAATAATTATATGTAAATGTATACTTGTCACTTTAAAACATGAGTGGCCATAGGTTTCAAACAATGCCCCTTTCTCCTCAGCATTACAAAACAGAGATGACTTAAATAAAGTACTGTAGATATTTTAACCTTTCTGCTGCATCTAATATGCAGGTCATATGCAAATATTTCCATCGGTAGCACTGCCTTCAAAGGCCATGTCAGCTGGCTGAAGGCTGGAGAAGCACTACGTGAGTTCTGCAGGTTGAGACACTTCCTTGCAGTCTATTACAGGTACAATGATGCGCTTCATACAGGCTTACTACACAGATGTAAAAGCAGCACAGTACAACTTCTAAATCTGATGAACCTTCTAGATTTTAGTATGCATGTATCCCTTTATGCTGAAGATGACTCAGACAGTTTGTTCATCATGCCCAACGAACATGGAGTTGCAAAGTCCCATTCACTTCAAAAGGCATTTTGATGTTTAAAAAAAGAAAGAAACACTGGAGATTAAGGAAACCAAATTATAATTCCAAAGAGGTTTTTTTTTTTTTTTTTTTTTTTTTGGGGAAAAAAAAAAAAAAAAAAAAAAAAAGAGGACGATAAATCTTTCACTGTGATATATCAAAATAA